AAAAAAAAGAAAAAAGAAGAAGAAGAAGAAAGAAAAGAAAGAAAGAAAGAAAGAAGGAAGAAAGAGATGTGAAACAACTGCATTTACGTACAACGCAAGATGCATCTAATTTTAGATAAGTTAAAGTCAAGTTTGAAGCAACTAAAGCTTATGTGCCAATATAACATGGCTGAGGTTATTACTATAGTCAATTTTGTTAGGGCCACATAGATTAATAATTATTTTATTAGTTTATAACTCTTTTTTAAATAGATATTCTATTTAAAAATATTTATTTAAAAATTAATTTTAATTTATTAAATAATAAATTATAAATAAATTTATCTAATCTCTATTTTATAGCACAAATTAAGAATATATTAACTTTTTTATAATTAATTTTTATAAAAAATTACTTAAGTTGTTTTATTTTTATCATTAATGTTATATACATATTTGTAATTGAATTATTAATAAAATTAAAGTTATTTTTAATTTTTTTAATATAAATTAATTAAATATATATACTCTTAATTTATATTTTAAATACACAAATTAAAATTTTTCATTATAAATTATCAATTTATTTTAATAACCAAATTAATAAAAAATTTAACCAATTTGTCTAGTTAGAAACGGCAAGAATAACCGCAGCCTGTTCATCATTGCCACTGTAAAAAACTGCACTTAATATTTAAACTATATATACGAGTTAATACTTATTCCGCCTTATTTTTAAAATATTAAGAAAAAAAAATTTTAATTTATATTTTAAAAATAAAATATTTTAATTTTTTTAATAAATATTTATTAAATAATATAATTTTAAAATAACATCTCCCTTACTCTTATAAATAAGCGGATAAATACTATTATATATATATACACATGATATCATAACCAAACCCCAGAATACTCGGCCGGGTTGTGAACACTTCAACCTCGAACTACATATTTTTGCTTTTGTATAAAATTCAGTATATTATTTCCCTCAAAACCCAGTTCCCCTCTTTCTTCTCCTCCAGACTTCCTGCAAAATCCAAATTCATGGATTTCTCAAGCGAGGTCAGTAATTTTTATCTTGATTGAATTTCTATAAATTTCTGTTCTCATTTTCGCCGGAAACTAGGGTTTTACCCTCTTTCATTCCTTCTCAAAATTTTCCCTTTTCAAAACACCGTCATTGCTTGTTTTAATTCATGAATTTCTCGAATTCATGTCTTCATACGTGATCGCATGTGTTCTCTAAAGCAAATTATGGGTTTAAGTATGGAAATTTGTGTTGATTGGACTGTTCATTCGTCTTCTTGAATGTGCCTTTTCTGATGCAATTGGCGGGGTGTCTGTGTTTTTAGTTATTTAATTGATTTCAATCATTCAGGTTGGGTTGCGGTTGCTCTTTTGTCCTCTTAGTTCCAACATTGTTGTCCGTACAGCATGGTAAGGTCGCAGTCCCATCTTGATAATTAGATGGAACTAGGTGTAATTTTTTCTTTGCCTGTGTCAGAAATTAAGATACCACGTTTTGGTAATGAGATGTTGCTAAAGTAATGGCTTGATGCAGTTGTTCTGTGGGGACTATTTTACCTGTTTACTCTACTTTTAAAGCAATTGAGAGCGGAAATCAAATTGAGCAACGGAAATGGCTTCTTTACTGGGCAGGTTAGCTTTCCTCCAGAAACAAATAATATAAGATGGGATTTATTTCTAACTATCAGGTGTGGTTGCATGAAGCAGAGATCATTAAGTTCTTAGTGTTTGGGCAGCACTTTACCCTAAATTTGTTATTTTAATTTAATTGTTTGTTCTTGTTCTTGTTCTTGTTCTTGCTTGGTTCATATTGATCCTTATTTTTTATTTGCAGTTTATGGGTCTTTTAGTGTTGCAGAAGTGTTTGCTGACAAAATTCTCTCCTGGTAAGTTCTTTTGATCTCATCCTAAATTTTCCTATTGCAGTTGTAGAAAGTTGGTTATAATTTTGTGTTGATTTTGGATTTCCATTTTGCATTTGCATTCTCCTGTTTTATTCATTCTCAAGAGGGCAAGCCGAACCAAGAAAAGCTTTTTGACTTGTTTTTAAGGACTGCAAGAATTATTCATTCTCTTCTGTTTTATTGAATTTGGTTCCATACAGGGTTTTTTTGTAGCATTTTTCTTTTGTTATTCTCTGAATATTTAAAGACTACACCGTTCTGGAAAACATTAGGGGGATTCATTGTATGTTGTATTCTCATGATGAGGCTAGAAAATCTATAGCTCTTGTCAATACTAGCTAATGCCAAATGCAGATTCAGAAATAGACTCCTTGAAAGAAACAGTCTTTCCTCACATTGAGTAAGATGTGCTCCTCTTCTTGTAGACTTTTCCTGATCTTTGAATTTATTCCTTAACCTGTAGAAAGAGGGATGCCACAAAACCCAGATCAGTTAACTTGGAGATTTTTTGTCAAAAATGAGAATCTGTTATGGTGATCCTTTTGTTTATTCATTTATTTTATAGAGGTTTTGCTGTTTGCTGGCCAACTTTGAGAAGTCAAGTACATTCAGACTCCCACCTTATTTAAACTTTTTCTAGATGCAATTTATTGATTGGAAATAAGAATCATGAATACCAAAGTAATGAAGCATATCTCAGTTCTTAATATCTTTCTTTTGATTGAATATTTTTTTGTAGGTAAGAATGAACTTTTAAGATGTTCTTTTTATTATTATTATTATTAGTATTATTATTAACTTTGGCAGCATGCTTCATCAGATTTCAAGTTTTTTCATCTTCTTTTTTTAGTTTTCCTAATATAAGGAATTGCCTCATTTGATCAGGTTTCCTCTTTACTACCATATGAAGTTTGCTTTTCTAGTTTGGCTACAACTTCCAACTTCTGATGTAAGCTTCAGTATTGCTTCATTTGACTAATAGTGTTTATTTGTCTTTTTATGAATTACCTTGGCAATTCATGGTTGCTCTGCATCTCTAAGCCTAGTTGGAGCCACATTAGATCATATATATTATTTTATGTCAAAAATGTGTGGAAGTTTAAGTAAGGACAAAAGAATGGTAGAAGATGTGGGATAGTCAGTACCGAAATTTTAATTGTTTTAAGTATTTTATTTAGAATTTTTTTTATCCTATTTCATATTGAAGGTATGTGAAGCTTTATGTTAACCTAGACATTGCATTGGTGGATGTAAGGTTAGGGGTCCTTTAGAGTCTTCAAGATGCATTTAAAATTTTCTCTCTAAGCAAGATGTTACTAGTAATCGATTGTTCTCTAGCAGGGAGCGAAGCATTTGTATATGAACCATCTCCGTCCATTTTTGCTGAGGCATCAAGCTAGGATGGATCAAATTGTGGAGTTTGTATATCGTGAAACGGTAAGAACTTTTCTCATTCAACTTTTGCAATGTCTGGCATTTAATTTAAGTTTGGGACTTGGGTTGGCTCAACTATATTGAAGAGTCACTTTTTTTTATATCTGCTGTGTTTTTTCTGATTTATGGTTGCCATGCCTGAACCCCTCTTATGCTTCTACCTTCTCACTCCTTTCATCCACTTCTTGTCCTTCTTACTCCACCAAATTGGGTGGCAAGTGGCGTGAACTAAAATGATATGTTGCATTAATCATGCCACTAAATCTGCTAATTCAGATTTGAAGTTTAAATATCTACTTGGTAAAGTCTGATAGATAACTGGATTTGCAGAGCAAATTCATCAGTGCACACCAAGCAGAAATCCAATTTGCAAGGACACTTTCAGTAAAACTTTTGTCTTCAGGTATGAGCTCATACCATCCTCTGATTTTCCCAACAGTAAATATCAAATTTAAGTTAGCTTCCTGAAGTTGAGCCCTATCTCACTTGGAACCTTTTGTACAATATTGGATTGATATTCATGTGCCCTCAGCTAACTAAACATGTTTTCTTTGTATTTCTTGCCACTTCCTGTGATCAGTGAATGAAACAGTATCTGAGTTTTTTCATCCAGTGCAAAGGCATTCTTCAACTCGTGCCATTGAAGGCCCCAGAAGTGTAACTTCAGATCAACAATCTGACAATGAAGATTGATTCGTTCTCCGACCCTGCTTAAATTAGTTATCATCTCCATCCCATTACAAATCGGTTTGCAGTTGGAAGTGTCCTGATGATTGAGATGAGTATAGATGAGTTTGAAATGGGGGATATATAACTGCAGAACTTTCGTCCTTTATTAGTAGAGAGTAAATGGATTAGCATTGTAAATAGATGTTTTTCTAAATTTCATTTGCAGTTTGTTATTAGATGTTGCCATTTTCATATCAGTTCAACTGGCTGGACCAATAACTGGAAACAGTTTTGGGCTGGTTTATGCTTAAAAACACAGCATCAGGAGAAAGTCCCATGTGAAACTAGTTGAGCTGTGTCTTCATCCAGATTGACACGTTATTAGGCCAGAAGCACATAGGTCTGAGTGACAAAGGATAATACTCATTAATTTAGAGTCTGTTTGATTTGGCTGTTAGGAACAATTGTAGTTATAAGCTGATATTTGACATATATTACTTAACAATTTAAAATCAACATAGAGCCTGATATTTAGAGGTATTTAACAGCAGGAAACTACACACAGTAGAACTAATATATGAACGTTTCTATCCAAAGGGCTTCCTTTTATGTTATTGTTTGGCTACCAGCAACTGCTGAACAACGGAGAATGATGCGCCTCCAAAGTTCATTCAGGACTCAGAAGTGTTTTCTTTGCCTGTAACCATTTCTGCACTGCAGTTGGGATATGGCCCGTTCTCAGGATTAACAATTCCATCGAGTGCGGCTGGACCATACAGCCGAACCAGCTCCTCCTGGTGTTCCATAAATAAGATATGAGCCTTTTGCACGGGAAAAAGGGGAAAGGAAATGAGAATGATGAAAAGAATTAACCTCTAGCAATTGGTTTTCGTTGCAAACTTTGCAACATTCCATGGATTTATGACGAAGTTGCTTCGTCAACCTGTAATGTTCGTCTTTCTTCTCCTCTATTTCAGCTTCTAATCTTTCTCGTTGTTGCTGGAGAAAAAAATTAGTTAGTTCAGAAGAAGAGTCAAAACGAATATGGTTTCATAGTTCATGAACACAATTTTGCAATTACCATTCTACGTAATCTTGACCTCTTAGCTGACTCCCTATTTGACAGCTTCCTCCGTTCTCTTTTCAGATCCTCCTGGTTCTGTTCAGAGACAAAAAATAAATAAATAAATAAATAACTCAGGAAATCGAAGAACCAAAAGCAATAATACTAGGAGGGATTTATAATTAAGTAATCAATACGACTACCAATATGCTTTCAATGAGTGTTTTAACGGGTAAAAGTTTAAATTGAAGATCTCTAAGTCAAACCTTAAAATGGGTAGAGAAGAATTTGCAAAAGGAGAGGGTTATCCATCAAGTACTATCAAAAACGAATACAGTTAGTATTTGCTCAAGCTAACAGAGTTGATGCTCACCATAGCACATATTGCTCCCTCTCCTGCTGAGTTTTTGCAACTCCTGTCCCGGTTCAAAGCAGCCTCAACATTGTATATTGTATAAGACTGCAGACTCAGATTTGGATTTCCATTGGAATATTGCTGAGCAATGACTCCATTCTGCTCAAGTACTGCTCAAGTATATTTATTAAAAGTCTTATCAGAGTGGGGAAAGTTTATGTACTTAAAAAAAAAAGAGCTTCTAAAGAATCAAAACATACCATCTTCCTCATTTATCAGCTTATTTAATTTTCCCTTGGTAGTTGTTGAAAGATCCTGAAGAAAAATAGAGTTTAGACTATAGTTATTCAAATAAAGTATCTTGTTCAAATTAAAATTTTTTTTTATTATAATAGAAATACCACGTCTGAGGTATCTCTAAAAAACTCATACATTAAATTAAGGTTTTTTTTAATATCATATGTTTCTCATATCATGTTTTATATTTCATATTGAGATATCTTTAAATATGTAACTTTTCATTAGTTAGAGGACTATATATGTAGAAATCTCTGATGTGGTATTAATTCTAGTTGCACGAAGACTTTCTTGTTCAAATCTTTCATCACCCGGCCTAAATGAAACCCAAAACTAGCAGGGTGTACAAGATGAAGTTTCGATCAAAGTACCTCAATGTTGCATTCTTCGTCGTAGTCACTTCTATGTGAGGTGCTCTCAACTCTTCCTTCCTTTACAGTTCTTTCCCGTAGATGATCTCCAAGAGACCCATTGCTTTTCGAGTTTGGCCAATGATATTGACCCATTAAATCGATGTCCTTCCCACATGGGATGCCAGAATCTCTTTCTAGAATTGGTGAGCCCTGTCGTATATACAAGGTCAATGCATTATTCGATTTGCAATTATGCTAATCTTTATGTAAAAGAACTCCACACTTAACCATCACTTTTATACTCAGAGATAACTATGCTCTTAGTCACAAGGATATATTTGTTTTTCATCCCCTAACTTTGACTTGAAATTAAAATTTTATAATTAATAGGCAACAATTTAGATAACGTAAAAGTTTAGGAAAGATGGAACGGAACAACCTAGAAATCAAAAAACCAGATCACCCAGAAAATTTCTTGGGGAAGAAAAAGAAAATTACCTGGTTTTCTATTGTAGAGGTATGAAAAGGAAGAGGCAGTTGTTTGTGAGATTCAATGGATGCCTTTGTTTGTTTATGTAACTTCACTATCACTTTGGAATGTGATTTCGACATTCCAAATGCAGGTATTGGAAGACTAGCCAAGTTGTTGATATTTTGTTTTATGTATCAATCTATACTAGTTTGAGGGAAGATGGTGATTATGATTGTTAACACTAAAAAGTAGAAGAAATTGTGTAAAACTAAGTATTTTATTAATAAAAAATGGAGAAAACTTACAATAAAGAGACAATAAAAAAAAATTCCCATTCTTAGGTCTAGTGTTAGAGTACTTGTAGGATATTATATATAATCATTCTAGGATTATAATTCTAGTTGAATTGGTAATGTGTATTTTAATTTTAATGAAATTTAGTCTATCTAATCTTAATATAATTTTTTTGAAAATACCTCAACGTGTCTTAATTCTTATATGACTCAATTTAAGGTATAATAATGAAAATGAAAACTTAACCTAGCCTTGGAGGTAGGCCTAAGGAAATTATGATGCCAAAGTAAAGTTCTTGACTTTGAACTAATTGAATAATGCACTGATCAAATTCTTACTGTCGCAAAAATTCCATGCCAATGATCTCATTGATACAGTGACAAAGGCTAAAACCTTAGAAATTTTTTTTATCATACTCAGTGCACGTAAGTCCCTCTATTTGTGTTATGTATGCATATATATTGCATCCAACATTCTCCTCTACATAAAAATTTTATATTTTTATAAGTTAGCTAAAGTTTTATACTAAAATGAATTTCTATTGAATTTAATATTAACTGAGTCAAATATACTCATATAATTTACTTTAAACTAAATTTTAGTTTTCAAGTATACCAATCAACTATTTAATTTAACCACACAAGTTGACTATTAAATCTTTAAGCTTGCGATTAACATCTAGCGGTGAATTAAAGATGTGGACCCTATTCCTATTTTCCTAATCACAATAATAAAATTAGAAATGTTTTTTTTTTTTTTTACATTTAATGAAACTTGAATTTCACGCATTCAAAATTTAGCATAAAAAGCCCTTAACAACTAGATGATAACCATATGTCCTGAGAATGTCCTCATGTTACAAATGTTTTGTATAATATAATTTGTAGTAAATTAAGTTGATGGATATGGTACAAAATATTATAGGAAAAAATGTTATAACTCAATCATTTTCAATTTTGTGTCAAAACAAATTAAAAAACCCTGATCCCAAATCAAAACTTTCAAGTCTTTCAACCTTTATATACCCATGCCTTGAATTTGACAATCGACGTCTTTCTTGTTCATCGTTCCAGTGACAGCATCATTTCAAAACTGATCTTCTTCGGTATGCATAGAAAGTCAAACCTCATATTCATGTCAAATTTTGGCAGCCGCCAATCCCCCAAATCCACCCTTTTTAAATAAAAGATAAAAGATATATTTACTTTTCAAGAAAAAAAAAGTCTCTTTAAATTGTTTATTAATATAATTTATTTATTTATTTATTATTATTATTTTTTTGAATAAGTTGTTAAGGAACTTGAATCCCGTTTACGAGAGATGGAGAATACACTTTAAACTGACAGGTTGTCAATTGATCCGAAAGATCAAGTGCATTTATTATTTAATATTTGATATCATTATATGTTAATTTTTTATTATAAATAAATTTAATAAATTAATTATTAATGTGTTATGATTAAATAATAAATATGGACTAATTTAATTTTTGCCTAGGCTTATGGACAGGCGAGGCAATTTGACATTGACCACGGGTTCAGAAATTAATTACTTCCTCTGTTTCATATTAATAGTCATTTTAGTTGATTTTATGAGGATTAAGGAAATCAATTAATTATTTTTCATTTGAGGGACAAATGCATTTAAAATATAATTTTACCCTTTTAATGCTTTACCATTTATCACAGACAAATGCATTTTTTTTTTAATTTTGGTTTTTGTATTTATTACGAGTAAATAGAAAGGGTAGATTTAGAAGAAAAAAATTAATATTGTATAAAAATCTTAAAACGACAGATATTTAAAAACAAATTCTAATCTCTAAAATGATAAATAATAAGGAACAAAGGGAGTACAAGTTTTCTGCATCACCTTGCATTTTCTCTTACAACAATCTGCTTTTCCTCGCCTCACCTTAATTATATCTAAGTTAGACCTAATCCAACTCTTACTTGCCCACTTAGTAGATCATTGGTAATGCCTCTTCACTGAATACCCATTTTCAAATGTTTTTGCCTATGCCTCTTCATTGGTAATGTTTTCCTCACTTCACTTAATATTCAATTATTCATCTTATAACTGTCTCTCATAATTTAATTATTAATATTTTATAATATAATATAATTTGAAATATATATATTTTTTACATACATTAGTATTTCACTCAACTCTACGGTGGCTGAATTTGCCTAAGGAGGAACAACACTTTTCGAACATAATCGGCCAAGAGAAATCATTTTCCAAAAATAAAAGAGGAGCCTGAAACTTTGAATTGGGAGCTTTGTCAATTTAAAAAAAAAATGAAATAATGATTTTTTCAAAAACTTATTATCACTCTGACTACTGACACTCAACTTTTTTTTTTCTTTTTCTTTTTCCCAACATTACTCTCTAGATTTTAAGAGCAGAGTTTTCAAATTATTTATACAGTAAAAGAACATGGGACTATGGGAGTGAGTATTAAAAAGGACAAAAATAATGCAGAGATAATGCTTTTATTACCATTTGTACGCTTTACACTGATAAAATATAATATTTAATTTATAGGTATTAAAAATTTAATTTAGATAACATATTTATTTATTTTTTTAACACTATTTTTAATTGTTTGAATCAATTGATTTAAGAATAAACAGGAAGAAATTCTTTTTTTTTTTCTATTTTATCTCAATTTTATTGTTTGGAGGGAATAAATAGAAATTAAAATGAGAGAAATTCCAAAAAATATTAATTCTTGAAGTTCTTTACTGCCTCAAAGATTTTTTAAATCCTAAAAAAATGTGACCCTTGATAATGTAGTATCAAAATTCCCCCAATATCTCCCTCTTCTCAAAGCGGAGTTAGTTATATTTTTAATTTTACAAATTAAGTTATTTTAATCTTAACCTCAATTTTGATATAAAAACAAAAAATTATCTTAAATACTTACAAAAAAATATTTTTAACTATTTTTATTTTCTCATATCCAAACTAATATTAAAATCAATCATTTTAAACTCTAAACATTATTTTTTTATATAAAGTTACTATAATAATAATAACAATAATAATAAATAAAATATTTGATATTTAAAATATTATAAAATTATGTTAATATTTATAATAAGTTTTTTAACTTTATTTATTAAAAATATTTTTATCTTTTCATAAACACATTTAACTTTTTAATAAACCAAACGTCATGATTTTCTTTATCTATAATAATAAGTCTTTTACTTTTCTTTTTCAGGGTAAGGGGGTAGCTCCTTTTTCCAAAAAGTTAGTCAAATCTCAAATTGTCTTATCATCTTTTTACCTTTTTCATGCAATATTTTATTTAATTATCTTTTCATTATGTTTTTTTCTTTTCAACAGTAGTTTTTTTTTTTAACTTGTTCTCTCTTTCCAATTGGTGTTGCCCCTTCCAAGAAAGGACAAGTAGTTTCTGTGCTCGTCCAGCTTTCATTTTTGTCAGAGTAAAGAACAGACAAAAAACAAGACACAGAACCAAATGTGTGGGTTTCAGTCATTGCACTCTCTTCATTCCCTACCTGCTCTCTCTGCTCTGATAATGGCTGCCCTGCATTTTGCTGGTGGTATCACCTTCTTCTTCTTCATGTAATGGGTCATGACCTCCGTCTCCAGAAGGCAAGTGAGTCTCTTTGCTCCTCCTTTTATGGTGATGGGTTTGCTTTGTTTTTGCAGAATGTGCTTGATTTGTAGTTTTTCTTTCGTGGGTTTGGGTTGTTCTCTCAAGTTTTGGAGATCTTGATTTGTTTTTGCTTTCTTAGATGCAAATGTATAAGTGCATCTCATGATTTTAGGCAATTTTCAGTTTAGTTGGTTCATCACTTGATTTCCCCTTCTAGTCTTTGTTCTTTATGCATCTTTACATTTATGAATCTGATCTGTTTCCTCAAGTAAATTAGCCGCCTTTCTGTTATTTATATGGCATAGTTAATATTTTATGATCCAAACTAGAAATGTGGGTAATTTAGTTGCCTCAGGGATTAAATTTTGGCTTATTGCTGTCCTTCAAAAAGTCAAATGCTGGAAATTTCATATGGGATCTGTGGTGTAACCTAGGGAATCATGTGTTCATTTCTGACTTTATTATGAAGCCCCTTTCCATATCAAAGAATCTCCTGAATTTCCTGATTTGTTAAAAAATCAAGACTTTCTGTATCACATAGCTGTCTAGATTTCGCAATCCTTGTAATATAGTATAGATATACAATACAAGACTTTGAACTTACTGAGGTCAATTTAACCAAGAACAAGAGAAGAAATGCAGAGATTACTTGGAAAATATATGGTAGTTTAGTCAATTAGTGGAAAAACTTGTGCTGGTTTTTATTTGTTTGATACCCTAATTATGTGGCAAGTTGTCACAGCCATCAAATGAATCTAGTAGCATCAATAAAGTAACTAACTTTGTGATATTGGTGGTGTATAAGATTATTGGTATGAAGTTGATGCACCATGGAAGAATAAGGACTAGTTTAGAGAAACTTATTGACATAAAACATTTTGTTGAATTGGTGGCCTTGGTAATTTATAAATTAATAAAAAAGAGAAAATAATGCATTTTGAAAATTGTGTAGAGAGAGGGAGGTGAAAATTTTTACCACATTCTTGAGCCTTATCCTTGATATAGTCAATGAGGTTGGGGTAGGTCTGACCCATGCCTCGAATATAAGCAAAGTCTTTGTGCTTGTAACTTATTTGAAGACCCGTTTGGCCAAATTACTGAGAAAGGGCTGACTGCTTTTGAAGATTTGATCCCCAAACACGGCCATCTATTACGTGTGTCAATGATATATTGCCTATATTGGTAGTCAAAAGTTAATATTTTTGGTGACTTTAAATATCATCTCTGTAAAGAACCATTTCACAAAATTACTGAGAAAGAACTAACTGGTTTCCAAGCTCTGATGCCCAATCATGGCAATCTGTATTGTGTGTCAATGGTATATTGCCTATATTGGTTGTCAAAAGTGAAAATTCTTGGTTACTTTATCTCTCATGGCCATAAAGCCCTTCCAAGTATGAGAGCTTAGTATGGGTGCTTAATCTGAGATTTGCCAGAGATGTGGGTGCATATAAATTTTTGATGCATTAAGAATTAAGATGAGATGGACTTGCTATTTTTTCACCATTATGAGGTTTTTCCATACTTGGTTTAGTTAAATATTATTGGTCTTTGTAGAGGCAAACAGGATAAATGAAAGATGAGATATTATGAGTTACTGTAAAGATAGTGTGTGATGAGATGAATTCTGTAATTGGTTCCCTCTTGTCATTTCTGACTTTGCATCCATGTTGAATACAGACGTTAAAAATTTTGTTCCTGCTTTTGCAGGTTGGAGCTAGGTATTGAACAATTCCTGGTTTCACCCTTAAACATGAAAACAAGACCTAAAGATGGTTGGCTGTCTATTGTGCCGCTTTGTTTCAGACGAAATTCAGTTGCTCATTTTTGCATGTTCCAAAAAGTAAAGTCAGCCAGTAGCATCCCCGGTGCCACTCCTGTCTACCTAAATGTATATGACTTAACAACAGTCAATGGCTATGTCTATTGGGCAGGCCTTGGTATCTTTCACACTGGTGTGGAAGGTAATATCAGCTTTTTTATTATATAATTTTCATCAACATTAATTCTCTAACAGCTTCTTTTGGTGCAAAATTGTCCTGATGAATCTTAACTTAGATGATAGTTTGATGCTTCACCTTCCAATTAAGGGTACACTGAAAAAATCCTTGCTCATGTAGGTAATCACAATGGATAATCCACCCAAGAGATGGAATTTGATAATTTTGCCAGTATAAAAGAAAGTATTTCATTTTAACAAACAATAGAGGATGTTGCAAATGGCTTATTATTGTTATTCCTATGCATGCTTACAGTTCATGGTATAGAATATGCTTTTGGAGCTCATGACTACCCAACAAGCGGTGTCTTTGAGGTTGAACCTCGAAAGTGCCCTGGCTTCAAGTTTAGGAAGTCAATATTTATGGGAACAACACGCTTGGAACCTGCCCAAGTTAGAGAGTTCATGGAGCGCCAATCTTTAAGCTATAATGGTGATACATATCACCTGATTGTTAAGAACTGCAACCATTTCTGTGAGGATATTTGTTACAAGCTGACAGGAAACCGGATACCAAAATGGGTGAATCGTCTTGCAAGAATAGGTATTATCATCACGAATCATAAACTTTGTCTCAGCATGTCTTCCGCACCAAAGGACTGGAAATTCTTTTGTCAATCCAATAGATTATTATTATTTTTTTTAAATGAGTATGACTGATGTCCTGGGGCCTAATGGCACCGCATAATGTACATGTATTACAAGTTACTCAAGCAGGATTTCCATCACAATGCCTCTTTTATCTTCCTTTCAGGTTCAGTATGCAACTGTATACTCCCTGAGGCTCTTAAAGTTTCTGCTGTGCGTCATGACCCGAACTTACAAGAATGTGAAAGTGAGAAGAGGAGGCTAAGAAGTGCCTTCAGTAGCTTGTCATCAATCTCAATGCCTCTGCCTCTACCCCAAAGGGAAGTATCAATGGCCTCACTGTTTCTTCACTCCCACTATAAAGGTTGCCTACCACCATGGGAGTGGAAGAGATCCAAAAGTGCCTCATTGAAGCAAGGGTGAGAAGATTCTTTTATCTTCCACCCCAAAACTTTGATCCATTTGGGGATACCGCCACCTCTTTTAACCCTTTTTCACTTGAAGGAACGAAAATATGTGAATGCTTGCTTTGTTCTTGTGAATGTTACAACAGTGGGCTTTTCTCTTTCTCTGTTTCTGCTAACCTGTGTTTCCGAAGTTGCTTGTTCATATATATCAAAGAAGTTGTATCTGTAGAACATAACGCTAAATGGTTCCTACAATTGTTTCTCTGTGTGCATTAAGCTCTTGATGTTTTAATGTCTCAATTGTCTGAGTGTCTTTGACAAGCTCTGCCATTAACAAGATACAACAAGAACACGGATATAGCTTCAACATTTGTGATTTGTTGTTAAAAATGACAGACATACAACGTGCTTCCCATGACCAATAATTCTTTAATGGGCCACAACCAATTGAAAGCGAAGGAAAACCAAAGGAAATAGCTTGAAGCAAATGGGCATGCAGATTGTCTTTTATCTACATATAATTAATTATTATTATTATTATCATTATTTTATGAACATCTACATGCAATTATTAGGAAGCAATATCTTGAATTTCTTGATATAATCAAAGCAGATGGATGTGAGAGTTATCCACTGTAGAAAGATGGGTTCAGCCGTTCAAGAAATCCAACCCAAATCAACATCCCAAGAAATGGGGTCTGGAGAAAGCCAGTTTCCTAGACACCAGTTCGAAACAACAGCCTTGGAGTCACAAGGAGACTGAAGGTATTTATAATCTTTTACTCAATATGTGGAGATTTTGGCGAGAAGAGTGAGGACGGTGGTGGACTCCATTGATGGGGTTGAACGGGTTTTGTACAGGGTCCCAGAGACGCTGCCAATGGAGGTTTCGGAGCAGGTGAGGCTGGCCCAGAAAGGGGATAATGTGCCTGTTGTTAAGATGTTGTTTGGGCAGCTTCACGAACCTACACTGTAGAGATTTTTAACTGCTTCCAACGCTTGAAAAACCCGAAGATATTTTCTTGGGGAAAGCACTCTAACGCTCAAATTAACAATATTTAATATTCTAGCAAAAGAAGCTCTTAAGAGTAATTACAAAGATAAAAACGTAGTGGAATTATTATCTTGAGTGGAGGTAGGTAGGGGTATTTATAGTCCTCAAGTAATGACATGAGTTCATACATGTAAGCGTCCAATTGGTTTACGTATAAGCACCCATGTGGGTGTGTTTGGACTGTTGTATGAATATATGTTCATTTTAGGCTTAGGGATAGACAGTTGGGCCTACCATACATGGCCCAAGTTGAATGTTGGGCCCATTCCCAACATTACTCCCTCCTTAGCGTTTGGTTGAGGAACTGGGATAATTGCATTCGTAGTCCATCGTTCAACCTTGAGAATTGGGCTCATGGCCTTTTGAGTTTGTGAACGGCCTGGTTAGCAACTGATCTGAAAAGAAGACCACAATACGGAGCACACATCCAAGCACAAACGTGTGACTTGTGTGACCCATGATGCATCTAGACTAAATCTTGGATGAGGAAGCCTTTGGAGAGATGATTGCACCTGGGCGACCTGACCTTAGAGCAACCTTATCCATTTGAGTTCAGATCAGGTATCTGTGAATAAAACGAGATCATACACTCGACTATGAATGAGCGACCTGATATTACGACGATCTTACTTGCGTGAACTCAGCTCATTTACGAACTCAATGAGCTCGTAAAAGGTGAGCTCGTACGATAAATTTTCAAACTTCCAAGTGAAGTAGGTCTCGAAAGAGATGGAGTCTCTTGGTAAGATGTGTGTCACATACAAGGTGTTACATGGTGAGCTCGTCCATGTTAATGTGAAAATGAGCAAATGCATGATGATCTCAATTGTGGCGACTTTTCAAAATTTAAAATGGAACAAGATGAGCTCGTCTACGTAGTTGCAAAGACGAGCTTACGCATGACGATCTCAACCTCGGCAATTTTTCAAAATTTAAAACGGAGCAAATCTCTAGGGAGATACGGTTGATATCCTTTTGCTAGCGGATATCTCTCTACCTTTTTCGCAATAAATGTGGCTTAGCATTTGAAGAGACGTGACAGCTAAAGCTGGCAGACGTTGCACGCCAAGCCGTAAATAGCTGCCATGTGTGGGGTTTTAACTAGCACGTCAGAAACACATGTACGACAATTAAGGCTGCACATTCTGTTTAAGAAAAGGAAGAGAAACGATCGTATAATCATTTTGGCATTTCCCTTTCACCATATTCTTTGTCTTTTTTTTTTTTTGTTTGCAATGGAAGTACTTGAAGCTTTTGAAACGAAATTCAGAAATCACAGACGCGGAAGAACATTACATTCCCCATATTTAAGTAAAAATGGACTTTTTTAGAGAACTTAAAGAGCTTCGGGGTAACCAAGGGAGGGAAGAAGAAGAGGTTGTCGTCTCAATGGAGCTGATTACCATTGTAGTGTCGTTGGAACTACAAGATCTTCCAGAAACTATTACACTAGAGAGTAGCGCCAGTTCAAGCATAGATGGTAACTTCAGTGACCACCATTCTTCAGCCTCTAAAGGCTCATCTTCGGGGACAACACCAGTGATGCGAGTGGTGTGGGAGAAGGTGCTAGCAGTCCCCCGTCGATAAACATAAGGGCGGACGTGTTTGCTATTGAAGAATGGGAGGATAAGGTTATCAATGGTAAACTGGATAATATCCGTAAGGTGCCACAAAATTTTCTTGCCGGTTTTAGGTTTAGGGTGGCACTTCATCATGAAGTGGTAGATGGTGCAACTATTGTCAAAGGGTATAAGAATTTGGAAAAGATGGTGAAACAATATCAGATCCCTAGGACAGTTTTAATCTAAGCTGGAACCAAAAATGAAAGGGCATGCACAATGGCAAGAATGAGATGGATACTAGTGTATATAGACCATTTTGACGTCGGTTTATGCTTGCCCCTACCAAGGTTGATTTTTGACTTATTAGCAGAGTACTAGCTGGCACTAACATAGCTAACGCCGAACAACATAAAATTTATTATAGGATTTATACTATTATGTGTGAAGTTGGAGATACCAGTTAAAGTAATAGTATTTAAGTTGCTATTTTTGTGCCAACTTAGTAGTACCCAAACGAGGTGGTACTATATTTTTGGAAGAGAGAAGATGATGATTTTTACGAATGTAAGGAATAAAATCGCCATATAGAAGAGGCAATTCATTTTTGTTTGAGATACACGAGTAGAGAGGGTTAATAACGAGCTGGTAACTTGCATCTCTAAGTGGCACTCAAGTCACACTTACATGAACTATCCCACACTGGTGCCAGGGGATATGGATTTGAAGAATAGGCTACTAGATTAAGTAAAGGCGGAAAGATTGGTAAACTTGGAGGCCCTAGTTTCCTTTGAGCAGCTCGTTGTATTTGAATTTGTGGATATGGCAAACCTATATGCCGAAGGTATATTTCTATTATAAATTTTGATTATTAACCGATATGAGTCTTATTACATTTGTTTGTGTAGGAGAGATGAGTAGCGTATTGGAAAGGCAGCACGAACGAGCTCAACATTCACGAGGTCATCGAGGAGAGAGCAATTCACATAGGTCAACTCGCTTTGATGAACAACCATTTGTGGCACCATCATGGAGCTCGTCACATCGGGAACGAAGATTGAGCTCAACGTCTAGGTCTCATACTGACCAAAGAGTTGAAACTCTACCTTCAAATTCCTAAAGGCGTACTTGTGATAATTCAGATGCGGAGGATGATGTGCCACTTATTAGGCAGAGAATGAGCTCCAGGGCTCTTCCCGTTCAACCCGTCGTGGTATGTTCATCTAATGTGCCACCTGCCCCTGCACGTGATGCTGCCGAAGTTGGAGCGACAACAACAGTAGTGTCTGGCCCCAGGATTACTTACCCTAAGGGTTTTAGTTACATGAAAACAAATTGTTAGGTCGGCATGCTGCAAGGTATGCAGAACTTTATTCCCCTGGTGGACCGACAACGCGCAAAAGGTTACATTCAGAAGCATGGGGGTCATGCTGCTATGCTAAAGTTGATGGACCTAAGTATTTTCATCAAATGTTTGTGCTATCATAATTTCTTGGTTAGAAGCTAACAATAGACATTGTATGGCAAGCATTTAGCTACATGATTGCACTTTTTGAATGCGAGCAAGGGGCATGAGGGCAAACTTGCGAGCTCAATGAAAGCTGCAAACGGTTGACTTCTGAGAAAGCAAGCTTGGAAGACAAGGTTAACCGCTTGCAAAGCTTTGAGATGGCCAATAGAGCTGCATTAGCTGAGAGTTGAGCTAACAAGTTGGCCAACAAGGTGAATGAGCTGAAGGATGAGCTAGAGAAGGCTTAGGTAGAGAGGGAAAGCAGGATCCAGGCGACCAAGGATGAGGTTGGCCGTGCAGAGGAACATGCCAAGAAAGCAGAAGCTAAGAGGGACAATGCTTAGAACGAGCTGAACTCTTTGAAGCGACGGGTGGCTACAGCCAACCAGAGCCTCGCCCAAGCTAAAGATGCCTTGAATAAGACAAAGATGTCTTATCAGCGTTCTGTGAGCATTGCGCAAGCTTAAAGGGCAGAGTGGTTGGTGAGTTTAGACATGTTCCAAGATGCGATGGCTGTTGCCTTAATGAATACCACGACGAAAGTCTACAATGACATTTGCGGAAAGGTATTGCGGCATCGACCTAACTTCCCTATCAGTGAGCTAGCATGTTTTGAAAGGGAAGACATGGACGAGCAAGGCAAAAGTCTCGTCTCTCCTGTTGATACAATGATGCGATTGAAATGGGAACTAAATGAGGATGGAGTGCTCATATGGCCTTCATTCGTTTTGGAAGAAAGGGGGGACTTGGAGGGGTTGCTGAGATTCGATTCATGGGTGGCTGGGGTACTCGAGGCAAAAGCTAAACCCTTCAGTAGTCCTCCAACTTCTCAACCAGTCACTACTCTTGCTCGCTCTTCTCCAGCTAGTGATGATGCATCCGTCCATGTACATTTGATGGATGATTAGGTTGTTAGGCTTTTTATTTTGCTTTTGTATTTTTTTTGTTTGGTCAGTTAACCTTTTTGGATAATTTCTATGTCATCTTTTGTATTGAAAAGTATGCTTTAAGAGAAATACAAGTGGGGGGATATTTTTTTGGAAGATTTGTGTATTCTTTGTACTTCGATCATACATTTTACATCTTCTCATCATGCTAAGTAATAATACAAATTAATTGTAATACTTTCTAAGATTATATATATTCCATGTGAACGGTAGTTGACGACATTATAAATCTGCTAACAAGTAAGACCCAAGTCACTTAATGTGGAAAACCATGTAAGGACCTTCCCAATTGGAGGCGAGCTTGCCCATGTGCGAATAGGCATTGGTGAGCTCGACCCTGCATAAAACTAGGTTGACGACCTGAAATCGATGAGAATGCACCCGTTTATTGTAAAATATGGCAACACAACTTTGATACGGCATGTTTTTCATCCTAGATATCTTCCTAACCTCTTCCACTAGGTCTAGGTTTTCTCTTAGGAGGTGCTTATTATTAGAATCATTACACTGAGCTGGCCTGTTAATCAATAAGCCGATTTCCATAGGGATTATGGCCTCAACTTCCTAGGCTAGGGAGAATGGGGTCTCTCCAATGGTCGAGCTGGACATAGTATGACACAACCAAAGCACTTTATTGAGCTCGTCAACCCAATTAGAGTGCATGGCTAGGACACGTGCGTTAAGGCCACGTAGGACAATTTTATTAGCTGACTCTACTTGTCCATTTGACTGTGGATTGTAGACGAACGTGAGAAAGAGTTTAATGCCATAATCATTGCAAAACAACCTGAGCACTACAGCTTGAAACTGAGGACTGTTATCAGCAATGATTCACTTAGGAATACCGAATCTACACAATATAGAACTAGCTAAGGCATAAAATGTGTGCACATGTAATGCATATAAGGTTTGACCAATTGGAAAGTACCTACACAATACGAAATTGAACAAAAACTCTTTTATTTTTTTTTCCAGATGTTGTGGACAATGGCTTAGCCTCTATCCATTTAGTGAAGTAATCCGTAGCAACGATGAGATGTGTACAACCTCCTTTGCCCTTAACGAAGGGACCGAGTAAATCTATTCCCTATTGAGCAAAAATGGGAGACATCTTTCTGCCCACCTAGCGATGAATCTATGCAGAGCAACGAGACGACCCGTGAGACGTTGCACATCTTTTACTATTTTAGGAGGTTTCATTTGCTGCACGGCTTGAATCTTATCAATTCCTTTTTTGGATACCACATATCCTAGAAATTTGCCTGATTCCACAGCAAACATACACTTCAAGGGATTTAACTCCATCCGTGCTCAGCGCAAATTCTGAAATATTTCATTGAGGTTGTCAATATGATGTTCAGCACGTAAACTGGTAACAATCATATCATCAACATAAACTTCAATATTTCTGCCAATCTAAAGCTTAAAGACGACCTGAACTAATTTTTGATAGGTGGCCCAAGCATTTTTTAATCTAAATGGAATCATAACATAGTAGTATATAGCATCACCAACCACAGTTGCACTTGATGGTATCCCAAACTGGCATATAGAAAACTCATTCGCTCATGACCAGTTGCATGCTCTACTAATTTCTCCATATTAGGCAAAGGATGTGAGTATTTGAGACATGTCTCATTTAATTTTGTGAAGTCAATGCACATCTTCCACTTACTATTAGGTTTTTTAATGAGCACAGGGTTGGATGCCCATTGCGAATATTCAACCCGCCTAATGAAGCCTGCTTACAATAGCTTCTACATTTCCTCATCTATAGCAGCTTGCTTTTCAGGGCTGAAAAGGTGGTGTTTCTGAACCTCTGGTTTCTTTGTAAGATCTGTACTAAGCTTGTGGATTGCGAATTCTACTGGAATTCCTGGCATCTGATCTGTCATCCACACGAAAACATCCTAGTTAGACTTCAAAAATTCCATAAGCTTAGTTCTTTCTTCCACTATGAGTTTCGTTCCAATTTTCACTATTTTCTCCAGTTCAATCAAGATTTAAGGGAACTGTCTCCACATGTTCTATTGGCTCAGCCTTCTGTTCTACGTTCTCAAGTTGGTGATCTATGTCAAATATGCTCATTGTTTGTAGGCTTGGCTGGTTCGGCCTGGGAACTTGAGAGGAAGAGGTCTTTGGCACTACGACGAGCTCAACTTTCTTGAATGTATCTTGGTATCACGCTCTAGCCATTTTCAAGTTTCCCTTAAGTACTTATATCCTTTGAGGAGTTAGGAACTTCATACAAAGATATAGTTGGGAAATGACTAGCCTTAATTCATAAAGTGTGGCTCTTTCAATTATAGATTTAAAAGCTAATTCCATTTTAACTACTAAGAAGCTCATTGAGGTCATCCTAAATTGCGGTTTCGTTCCCACGTAGATGGGAAGAATGATCACCCCTTCAATAAGGATGGGCTGGTTGTTAAATCCATATATTGGCCCTTCATATTTTTTTAAAGAAGCTAGATTCAGCTGGATCTTTTGAAAGCAACTCCAATATAAAATGTTTGGGGAGCTTCTTGTATTAATGAAGACTTTGTTAACATTGTGATTGCCTATGTGGACAGTTGCCACAAATGGGTCAGCATCGGGCATCATAATATCAAGCTCTCCCTTTGGGTGCTTGTAGTCAACAGGGCTAAATGTAATGGGTGTGCTTTCCCACTCCACTTCCTTAAACGGTTGCTTTAGAGGCCTATTCTTATCCACAGTCATTATCTAACGAGCATAGGCTTTGCGACCTCAAGCGCTTTAACCTCCTTAATGCATGCCACCGGAAATCATATTTATTATGCTTGAGGATGAAGGTATTTTGGTGTAGCCTATTCCCCTATTGTCTTTTTGGTTTTGGGTTGCAATCCTCTAGGCTGTAGTTCTCTGCCCCTACTCTCACCTAGCGTGTTGGCATCCTCTATATGCTTTGTCGAGCTTAGAAGAATTTTGATTACCCTAATATAGGTTTTGATTGTTGCTGACCTGATGTCCCTGTCCGTGTGGTCAGTTGTAATCCTGGACGTAGTGCGTTTGGGTTGGTTGCTGGGGGAATGACTTTTGAATATGTTATTCTAGTTTTCCATTATGAGCTAAAAATTCCAGCTCGTCCTTCAAACTTTGGTAGTCGTCTGTACTGTGGCCATACTCACGATGGTAATCACAATATTTACTCTTGTTTGCTCGAGAGGAGTCATGGAGAGAAGAAGGTGGCCTCTTGATCCAGTGTTGGATCTGTGCCAAAATTTGAGATATCCACAAGTTCAAAAGGATATAGTTAGCATATTTTGGGAAAGCAAGCGATTTTCATTGCTGATCAACAACTTTCTATTTTTTCTTTTCTTCCCTTCCTTCTGACTGTTTGTGCTCTTTATTCTGCTTGTCATCATCTCGTCGTTTGGATGACTGAAAGTCTTTCAATAAGATGAAGCTTGTGGACCTATCATTCACTTCATTCCATGACTTTGGTGGGTTTTTTAACAGGTCATCGAGGAACCAACCAGGTTAGAGGCCATGCAACAAGGTAGATAAGCAGATGGTGTCAGGGACATTGTCAATGTCTAGGGTGGCCTTGTTGAACCACTGCATGTAGTCCCTTAAGAACTCTCCTTCCTTCCAGTGAACTTGCATCAGCTTGGTAACAATGCGTTTTATTTCTCGTTGGCTCGTAAATTTGTTAGAGAACAAAGTAGCGAGCTGGGAGTAAGAGGTTATGGAATGTCTGGGAAAGCTTGTGATATCATCTTCCGACGATTGACTTCAAGGTTGTAGGGAGCACTTTGCACATCATAGCATCAGTAGTGTTCTGAACTTTCATGATGGCCTGATAGGTATGCAAGTGTTCGTCTGGGTCACTAAAGCCATCGTATGTTTCTAAGTGAGGAATCTTGAACCCCTCATGATATGGTTCTACTGTAACGGATAGGTTGAAAAGGGCGCTATCTAAATCAAGGGCCTGTTGGCGCGACCTCGGACTTCTCAACTCGTCAATAGACTTTTGTATGTCTTTGAGCTGTCTTTCGAGGTTTGCATTCTTCCTCATTGTGCTTTGAAAAGCTGGGCTCGGGATTTGACTTCCCACTTCCCCTCGGCTTGGTTGGCACTACTACATTGCTCAGGGTCGGGGAATTGTGAGTTGCAATTTCTGCAGACTGCTCACCCCTATTCAACAGAGGAATCAATGGGTCATCAGGGATCAGGTGGGAGAGTATTCTCCCCATCACCATTTCTAGGACCCTAGTTCTTTCCTCCAGCTCGGACATCCGAGTAGTTTCCATGGGTCCTTCACGTCATGATGTGTTATGCATGGGATGCCTCGGTCTCACTCCTGTTGGGATCTGGAACTGCTCTTCGAGCTGAGTTGCTTACCCAATTGGTGTTCTTTCATCATCTAAACCACTCATATGTTCTCCTCCTACTCCTCCTACAAAGAGGTTTCTTGGCATTGGTTGGAAGTCGCTCAGGCCAAGTCCCGAAAGCTGGGTGTCGTCCTGATCGTCCATCCCATTCCTCTAAGGGGGCAGTTCCCAGTAAAAGTGCGTACCATGTTTAACATTAATAGTAGCAACACTACTTCTTTGATCAGTTTCTCACAGACGGTGCCAAATGTTTGGGCAGCTTCACAAACCTACATTGTAGAGATCTTTAACTACTTCAACACTTGAAAAACCCAAGGATGTTTCCTCGGGAAAAGCACTCCAACGCTCAGGTTAACAATACTTAATATTCTACCGAGAGAAGCTCTCAAGAGTAATTGCAAAGAGAGAAGTGTAGTGAAGTTATTACCTTGAGTGGAGGTAGATGGGGGTATTTATACCCCGGGTGATGACATGAGTTCATACATGTAAGTGTCCAATTGGTCCACGTATAAGTACCCACGTGGGTATGTTTGACCTGCTGTATGGATATATATGTTCATTTTGGGCTTGTGGATAGACGAGGGGGTCTATTGTACATGGCCAAGGTTGAATGCTGAGTCCATTCCCAATAGATGTATTGTAAATATTTTATTCTTTAGAATATTCTCTTTTTATACTTTATACCTTAGAATATTCTCTTTATATACTTTATACCTTAGAATATTCTTTTTATAAACACCTATATATTATTGTACATACAGTATTATTCAAGAAAATAATAAACTTTTCTTCAAATATTTCTCTTTCTTTTCTCTTTCT